CAAGCCAAAGCCATGATGACACAGAAGGGGTATTATCATTCATAAGGAATAACAAGGCCTGACTTCTGCACTCCAGTTCCAGCCAGGATCCATAGATGGCTGGGCCCCTGCCCCAACTCTTGCTTCTGCCCTGGTAATGCCACCTTCCTGACCTTGGAAAGCCCTGGGTCTGGTGCACGTGCACTGCAGCCCTGCCTGCTCCCAGGTTGGATTAGGCAGAATCCGAGGACGTGCCGGGCTGGCAGGCTCAGGGGTGGGGCAGGTGCTGGTGTTGGAGCTGCTCTATGTCGGCTAGGGACTGAGCTGCGGCAAGGCCTTGTATGGCTCTGCCAGAGTAACTCGGCAGCGGCACCCATTGGCTGGGCTGGCACTCCCAGCCAGAGCTGCCTGGGCCCCAAACCACTGGTAACTAGAGCTGCCGGGAGCTGGCGGATTAGCATGCCCGCCTGCCCGCCCGCCTGCCCGCCACCAGGGCTGCTCTTTTCCTTTCCTAAAAAGGCAGAGCTGGGCAAGAGAGTTGGGCAGCAGCACTTGGTCCTGGGGTACAGGTGTGGTGGGTGGAGGTGGTGCAGGTGCCTCCACGGAGGGTTTGGAAATCCTAGCTTTGGGCCTTGAGCCAAGCTCTTCCTGGCTGTGGACATCAATTTTCTCTTAGGAGAAGGGGAGGGTTGGCAATGGGGTCTCCCTGAATTAGATGAAGCCAGGATGGACTTGGGGAATATGTAAGCTGGGGTCTTCTGGTCCAAACCCAAGTTCTGAGGTTGCTCAGTAGTGAAGAGCTAGCCATTTCCCAATGGTGGTAACTCCACCACTCACTCCAATGACCTCAGGGAACAGGACTAATTCTCTGCGCCCAAACTTTTCATGTAAAAGGTGATGTCCCCATCTCCCAGAGTTTCTCAAGAAATATCCGTGCTGATCCTTCTCAGGCTCTTGACCTTCTGCCCTGTCCTTTCTTTGTTCTGTCCACTCATTCTGACCTCCAACTGGATGACCTTTCTCAGGCTATGCTAGCTGTAGTGACATGTCCCCATAACTCCCCAGGTTCTATGGCCAGAGAGGACACAGGCTTAGGAGTAAGGGAAAAACCCTTTTCCAATCCTGTGGAACTAGTGTGGCCCTAGGTGGGGGCTCAGAAGAGCTTGACCAATGCCCTGATACTGGGATAGGCTGGTGGCCCTGCCACTTGGACGGTGGGATTTTGGGCTGCTCCTTTGTAAAATAGGAATACACATCATTTCTGGCCTCCTTCTGAAGGGAAAGGGTTTTGCAACCTCTTAAGAATCTCTGCAGACAGAGGCTTGGTGGCCAAGTGACATGCAGGTGACTGCTAACTGGGTGTTAGGCCAGTCACAGGGTATTAAGTCACAGTCATAGCCAGGAAGGGCAGGTGGCTGATCTGACAGAATTCACATGTCCTCTCCATGTTCTTCAGTCCTGGAAAATGCGGTCAGGCTTGAGACACAGGGACCCAATGTGGCTTGCTGGAGAGAGTCCCAACTGGACTGTGGATGGTAGAAGCTGTGCGATTTGAGACCCAGAATATGCTGGAATTAGGGTGAGGCTGGAGGGTGAGGGAGGATCTCGGCTCTTTGGAAGGTTGCTGTGGAACCAGCCTCAGGTTGTAGTCCTCTTGCTTTCACTGTCTGGAGCTGTATACTCTAAACAATGGGGACAGTAAATCACCTTGTTTAGTTGTAGAAAGGAGTACAAAATTTGGATTCAGGGTCCAGGTACATCCTGTGTTCTTCTACTCTGGGCCTGTGTAACTCCACTGACCTTCTGGCCTGGTTTGAGATTCGGGCTTTCCCCAGGACATGCTTCATTTTGTGACTCAGCATCGTCTATACCCCATGATTCTAAGACTGGCCGTCATCTTTGCAGCCTTCCTATGGCTTTCTCAGGACCATTTCTCAGGACCACTCCTGTAAAAATTTAGTCCTTCTGAGGCTAACACCATCTATCCATCACTGACATCCGCTCATGTCCTGGCCCAATTCTGAGAAGTCCTAACCTTGTATGATTGTCATTCGGGCTGTTTCCAAACACTCCCATTCTCCTCCATTAACTTGCCCGTGTGACTTTCTTTGGGTGGGGTGGAGGTGAAATGTGAATGGAAGGGATATTTGTTCTTGGTGCTGAGCGCTTCTCTCTGCTTCTCCCCTTCTCTCCCTCCCCCGCCCCCTCTCTCTCATAGGTACACAGAAATGGAGCCACTCTCCCTCTAGGTATTCCAGTTCTGGGATGAGAACATGAAAGAACGAAGTTCCCCTGACCTTCAGCTACCCAGTGTGTGGCTTGATTGTTTCTGCAGTTAGCCCTGACTGGTGTGCCAGGTCTCTATCTCCCGCCATCATTGGAGATGACATTACCTGCCATCTGGATGACCTTGTCAGAGATTTGATGCTTTCTTCCTGACCTCTGTATCTCTATCTCTTGCTGTTCAGTCTTCCTTCACAACTGACTGAATCGTGTATGTGTATGTATGTGCGTGTGTGCATGTTTGTGTGTGTATGCTGCTCTCAGGGTTTGAATTCAGGGCCTGGCACTGTCTCTTAGACTTTTTTTGCTTAAGGCTGGTGCTCAACCACTTGAGATATGGCTCCACTTACAGCTTTTGGGAGTTAAGAGCCTCATAAACTTTCCTGCCTGGGCTGGCTTCTAACTTTGATTCTCAGATCTCAGCCTCCTGAGTAGGTAGGATTACAGGCGTGAGCCACAAGCACCTGGTTTGTCTTACTCTTGAGAGAGCTCACAGTCTGCATCCCTGTCCTGTAATCAAGACCTTCCTCCAGCTTCTCAGCCCATAGATACAGCAACCCTCAGCTTCATTCTCTTCATTTACAATATTATCCCTGCTATACCCACTGTCCCTCTGTGCCATGGGCTGGCAGAACCTCCCTCTGGGTGAATCTGACTTGACTGTCTGCCTCTCTGGTCTTGTGGTCTGGATGTTGACCACTGCTAGAGAAACTGTAGAGCAGATGGAGGCTGCAGCCCAAGTGCTAAGCAGGATGCCTGCCTCATCTCCTGGGGGTGGAAGGCGTGCTATTGTTCCCATCATGTCTTCTCTAGTCTCTTCATCGTTCCCTGCATCTCTGGGAGCATCCTTGTCATCAGACATGCTGACTTTGTCTCTCCTACATCCCTCTAATTTAGGGAGATTGACCTTGCCTCTTTGGCCATACCAACCTTAATACTCAGCCTCTGCTCTCCAGTCCTCTCTCCCCAAGACTCCACAGCCCTCCAGCAATTGCCCAGCAGCCCTTCCAGTGCCCTAGGCCTCTAATCCTCAGCTACCACCCTCCACCCACCATTTATCCAGAACTCAGAGATGGCCCTGCTAGGGGAGCCCAGAATGGCACTGGGCTAGCTTACCTTCAGATCCTTAGCACTGAACTTCTGGGATCCCCTTGTGATATCCTCCCTCCTGGGCCAGCATGAGGACCTGGAAGGTCCCTGAGACTCTGACTCCATGTGGACTAGAGTGTTGGTTTTCTCCTGCCAAACCATTTACACTCCTGCAATAGGGTGACAGCTCACGACCTGCTGGGATTGGAGCTCTCAAAGGTGGATGGTGTCTCTTGCTCACTGCTGTAGTGAACCATGGTGCTTAGTAGTGGAGGCCGAAGCTGGGGACCGGTATTTTCTCTATCCCTGCAAACAGCATCCTGTGCAAAGATGGCAGTGGCTGAAACAATTTGCTGAAGGCTCTGTTAGCTTCCCTGTATGCACATCTCATTTAAACTTCGTCATTCCCTTCCAGGTGAGGAAAAAGAGTGGTTAGGTGATCTGCCGAAGGGCACACAGGAACCCGTTTCATCCTACAGTTGTGTTCCGTGGTGACTCTCAAGTTTGTCCTATCATAATCTTCAGAATCTGTGTGTATGACTTTGTGACAGTTTCGAACAGCAGACCTAGCAACTGAATGCAGGCTGTGCTTGCAGGACAATAGAGTGCCAAGCTTCAGGAATTATTGTTGAGAATCCCCATCCGTGTGACTATGGCCTTGTAACTTCCCCTCTCTGGGCCTGATCACATGAAGTTAAAATGAACACTTGGAGTACCAAACTCCCCCCTCTCCCCAATCTGACCTTCTACAATCCTCAAGAAAAACCACAAGCCGGGCAGACAAGACTCTGTTGGGACTTTCAAATTTATTCCAACGTGCTCTTTTTTTTTTAAAAAATATCCTCAGGCTGAACCCTCAGCCAGAGCTGTAATAAAGGCAATTATTATACTTGTAAAAAGCTCTCATTCACAGTACGGATGTAATTTACAACAAAGGTCACACACATCAATACTGAGCATTTTTTTTTTAAACCTTTTGTACATGAGACTCTGTGCTTTAGACCAGCATGGATTTTGTTGTTGTTGTTTTTTTCTTTTATCTTTTGCACTGATATACACCATACCAACATGGCAAGATGCAAGGGTAGGAACTGGAGTTTAAATAAAATTACAGGCAAAACTACCCATCCCAGTGCGGTGGCTGTACACACGTATCTACAGTACGGAGTTTGGAATGTATTGCCATTTAGGAACATAAAAACTTTCTACAGACAATTTCACATACAGAATACATACAACTTTTAGAAAAGAAAAAAAAGGCAAATATTTATCTTACAGAGAGCATGTATCTTACAAATTTCTTTTTACTTCCTTTTCTTTTTCCTTGAGCCCTAGATTTATAAAGTGATCCTAAGTGCTGGAGCAGGTTGTTAATGGAAACAGTGCCTTTGGCAACTTTCTCCCTTGGGCAACACAGATCTGTCTCCAAGGAGGGAGGGCAGCTCAGCCAAGACTTTCACTTAAAAAAAAAAAAAAAAGATTTGTCTGGCTGGGTGCTTGTGGTTCACGCCTGTAATCCCAGTTACTCAGGAGGCTGAGATCTGAGTATCATGGTTCAAAGCCAGCCAGGGCAGAAAAGTCTATGAGACTCTTATCTCCTATCAACCACCAAGAAGCCAGAAGTGGAGCTGTGGCTCAAGTGGTAGAGTGCCAGCCTTGAGTGATAAAGCTAAGGGACAGTGTGCCCAAGCCCTGAATTCAAACACCAGTATCATCCCACAAAGATTTGTCTGGAGCAAGCATTAGAAAGAACATCAACTCAGATAAATTGCTAAATTGCTTGTTCCAAGGAGCCGAGTAGGAATGGAGCAGTGCCCGGGGTGGGGGTGGGGGGGTGAGGGACCTGGAAACACATTTTTATTTCCTGAAATTTTCCAACTGAGGAAGGCAGAAACCTCTGAGCCTGGGAGATGGACTTCTGGCAGTTTGCTCTGTCAGGACCCCGGCAGGTCTTGTGTCTGGGAGCAGCGTGCAAGCTATGATGGGGGACAAGAAGGAGTAAGGGGCTGACAACTGGAATGACTGTGAAGCTGTCCAATACGACAGGAACCTCAAAGGCAGAGCTGGGGAGAAGGGGCTTGGGACCTTCAACAGAAGGCAGGATTTGGCTTGAGGCCTCTGCAAATTGCCAACTGCCAGATCTAAGGACCCAAGCTCCTCTGTGCCAAGGAATGGCTATTTATCCACTGAGCTGGGGTCTACACCCACACGTCAGCCTGGATTCCTATACTTTCACAGGGGTAGGGACCGTAGGATCAGGGTGATTGGGAACAGACTGGAGACCCAGAGGGCATGTGTGAAGTGAGCTGTTCCAAACTGGGAAGGTATGCTGTGGCCTGGGGCCTTGTGTCATCAGATTGGGCAGAGAACTTTAGCAGAGGGGATCAGAGCTAGCCTGGTGTGCCATTGATTTGCTCCCTCTGGGTAGCTGGTTAGAGCAGCACTCTTTGGTACTCCTGTCCCTGTCATGGAGAAACAGGTCTCACCAATAGCTATGCCATGTTACAAGGATAGCAAGGAAGGGGATCTTGGTGGGCGGAGGGCAAAGTCCAGAGGGGTGACATCCAAGAGAGCTAGGAAGGGTTGGAGTCCTATGGGACACCCTGAAGGTTCAGGGCTAGCACAGCAATCTGAGGCAGGAAGATCTTGCCCTGGAAGACTCCACCTGGGTGGAAGTGATACTCTTTATCCAGCTCCACAGCCTCAGCTTTGAAATCTCCAATGTGCGGAGTCTGTGGATTAGGAATGAAAGTCACAAGGGAGCATCCTAGCCTCTGGCCTGGCTATGACCGGGACCGAGGCTCCTATCACTTCCTGCCAGGCCCAAAATGAGCCAGTCTGGTCTAGGCTGGCCTCTAGCTTCTCCCAGGTGGGCAGGAGACCTAAGATTGAGTCAAGCATTAGGAGTGTCTGGCTAGCCTATCCACATCCCCACCCCGCCCCCAGCACCTAGGAGCACAGTGAACTCTGAGAGGCCTTGCCTAACTGAACATGCCCCTACCTTAGCTGGGAGCAAGATAAAGAATGAACTAGGTAGTTTGCTGGCCGGTGGACCAGGTTGGGGTACCCACTCCACGGGGCCTAAGCAGGGAGAGGCTCTAAACTAGCACAAGGTGCTCAAGGTATTTGAATCTTCCCTATGTGACAGCTTGGCTGAGGAGCTTCACCAGCTCAGAAGCCCTTGGCTGAGCCTTCCTTACATACGGTCTAGCTGAGGTCCAGGAGTAGACAGAGAGGTCCCTGCTTTGGATCCAGCCTGGGTGACACATGACCATGAGTCCTGCACTTTTTCCCCTTATAGAAATCAAAGAGAATCATTTCTGAAAGGTGGTTGTAGGGGTGGTGGTAGTGGTAGTGGGGAACCCATCTCTCCTAGGTGGAAAAAGGAACCACAGACATTAGTACACAGCAGTGCCTGCTTTTACATTTAATTATATAGGCTAATATGCCAGAGGTGAAATCAACTTGAAATTTATGTTTCTGGTCATATTACTTTCCTTATAAAGCAAGGTTTTGATCCAGAATGCAGAGAAAAATTCAAATGACTTAGGACAAGCTACAAATCCTTTAGGTTAAGAGTATCTGAAGAGGTTGGAGAAACAACCAAATATAATATTCTATGTTTAGATTTGTGATACATATCTATCTGTGCGTGCATACACACACACACACACACACACACACACACACACACACATACACAATGTATTCCAACCAGGAAAGAAGTAGTATGTCTCTTGTACTCCAGGGCCATGGTGAAGCAACACTCAAACCTCAGGCTCAGCCACTTCAGCCTTGTAGATAGCTTGAGCGTACGGAGTGGCCTGTGGACAGGGCCAGAAGAGAGAGGTGAGAGTCAGGTGTATGGGGACCAGGATATAGAGGTCAGGTCCCTTTGCCAGCCCAGAGGCAGGTGGAGAGTGGACAGGAGGGGCCAGGGTTAGGGTGGCTTGCACACTTATCCTATGCGGGGATGGATTCACAACTCAGACCACCTAGGTATCTGAGAAGTTTGGGCAAACCAACCAGCAACTACCTTCCACGTGCTCCTCTTATTTTTGTACTTGGAAATCCTAGCAAAAGAAATGTTGGTTCTTTTTCTTACAAAGAATAAAAGAAACAGAGAAGGTAATTTGGGGATGGGCATCTGTGTCCCTCTGACTGAGTTCATTGGCCCCTCTGCTAACCAGGGAGACAGTAGCCACTAGTAGAGGGCAGGTCTAATGGCCATACATAGGAACTAGACATCTGTGTATAGGAATGCTTGCTTTTGCATTTAATTGTATATATTTTGAAAGTTTCCTTTATTTTTCTTCTCCCTAAGCAAACAGCTGCCTTTTGCCAGCCTTTACATGGGGAATGGCTGAGGGCTGCTGGCTGCATTGGGGACTGCAAGGAAGCCACCATAGCCTTTCCCCAGGGGACAGATGCTTCACAACCTCAAAATCCTCATGGGTCTCTCTCTCTCTCTTTTAGATGTATGTGTGTGATTTTTCTTTTCAAGCAACAAAAGGTCTAGAAAAAAGGCACAGGTAACTGCATACATGGAAGATATAACAGATGGAGGGCTGAGCAGAAGCCACATAGACGGATGGACAGATGGGAAGGGAGCCCATGGGAGCAAGGTGACTCGAGGAAGTTGGATGGAAAACGTCTGTTGCCAAGCACTGGAAGCAGTTGGAGAGAGGCTAAGTGCTCAGGGGGCCTCTGTCCTCTGGCGGAGGTGGAGGTACCCTGGGCCCCCCACTACCTGGGGGCTCAGGGGAATCTTGCCTGGTCCTGGGTTCCCCAGAGAGGTTTCTCCTCCGGGCTGTGAAGCGAGCAGAGGCATCTGCCAGGCAGCCTATGGAGCTGCTGCGGTCCAGTGGTGGAGAGGCAGAGTCTGCGGGGTTGGCCAATATGGGCAGTGACTCCAAGTGAGGACTCCAAGACTGGGCCACTTGGTGGCCCTGGGGTAGCTGTGGGGTACAGGGGCTGTGTATGGGCATGGGATCTGAGGGTGACTCAGCCCTACGGGGCTCCCAGTCAGGAGGTCTTCCAGGGCCTCTTCCCATCTTCTCCTTCTCCTTGGGGTCATCTCTGCTCTCCAGCTCCAAGGAGAGGGTGAACTTGGAAACCTTAGCCACAGGGGACACGGAGGCTGATGAGCTTCCGGTGGGGCTCCAGCGTCCTCGCTCCTGAGCCTCCCGGGCTCCTGTCAGGTCACTGCCACCTCCTGAGAAGCCACTGACCCAGGCTGTGGAGGGCCCTGGCAGCAGGGCAGGGTGGATCCCTGGGCGGGCCTGCACCATCTGGATCCCACCAATGGGAATCAAGGGGCACGGGGCTCGGGACAGGTGCTGGGAGTGCAGAGGCAGGTGGCTGAAGATGTTCTCTGTCCGAGCTGGGCTGTGCCTGTGGAAGTCATGGGGCACCAAGAAGGGTTGGGAGGAGAAAGGATGAGCAGGACCAGGTGAGCAGGATGCACTTGGAGACTCAGCCTTCTGCTAGGGTCAAAAAACAAGATTAAAAAGGAGAGTGTTACACACCTGCCAGGTGGAGAAGTGAGGTCTAGAAGCATCGAGGCTGGACTAGCCAGAGACCCCTGAATGAAGCTGCTGGAGATGGGCCAGACATCTCTGCTCTCTATGCATGGTACTGCCTGATGCCCATCTTGGGCCATCTGATGACCATGAGCACACTCCAGTCCCATAGTCTTCAAGCCCCCAGCCAGAACATCTGCAGGAGGGGTTCTGGCCCTGGCCTGGCCTTTTATCTTTAATCTGCTGCCTCTCCTATTACTAAAATGGTCTGGACCCAATTTTCCCCTTGTACACCAGTTCCTTCCCATCCAAGGATCCCGACCTTCTTCCACCAAGAATGTCCATGTCACATATTAACCATCAGGAAACATTCCTTAAAGCTGTGTGCCAGTGGCTCATCCTTGTAATCCTAGCTGCTTGGGAGGCTAAAGCCCACCAGGAGGATGGAGATTCCAGGTCAGCCTGGGCAGAAAAATTCATGAGATTCCATCTCAATGGAAAGATGGTGTGTGTGTGTGTGTGTGTGTGTGTGTGTGTGTGTGTGTCTGCTCAGCTATAGTAAGAAGACAAAAATAGGTAGATTGTAGAACAGGGAGGTACCCAGGAAGGAAGTGAGACCTTATCAAAATTAACTAGCGTACAGAAGGGATGAAGGCATGGCTCAGTGGTAGAGCTCCTGCCAACAAGCAGGGTGGGGATGGAAAAGATGGGAACTAGTTCAATTGTTCTGCCCACAGCCAAGGCTGTCCTATTTGTTAGGGGGCAGAGCCCCAAACTCATGAACTAAAGAGACCATGCCTGTTGCTTCAGGGGGTGCAACAAAATGAAATCAGAGCCAGGTGCCAGCGGCTCCAGCTTATAATCCTAGCTACCCAGGAAGCTGAGACTGGAGGATTGTGGTTCAAATCCAACACGGGCAGAAAAGTCTGTCGGACTTCATCTCTAATTAATCAGCAAAATGCCAGAGTAGAGGTGTGGCTCAAGTAGTAGAGTACCAGATGAGCAAGCAAGCTGAGCAAATGTGAGGCTCTGAGTCTAAGCCTTGGTATTGACATTGAAAGAAAAAAAAAGTTGGCTTAAGGCACAGGGTGTGGAGCCTTGCACAGTAGAGTCCCAAGAAATGTTTGTTAGTCGATCAGTGACCACTGGGCTGGCAGAACCCCCTCAGTTTCAGATGTGAAGCTCTTGTGAGAACCTGCAACCCTCTCCACACTCACTCCACCCTGGGAGGGACATGACAGCAACTCACCCACGTGGAGACGCAGGTCTCGGGGCTTCTGCCGAGAAGCTTGTGAGGTAGGAGTGCAGGCTGAAAGAGAGCCCGCGGAGCTGGCCCCAAGCCTGGGCCGCGCCTGCTGGCTGAGGGGCTGCTCGGCACAGACAGAGCCCACTTCTCTGGCAGCGCTGACCATGGTGGTGACTCAGCCTGATCTGGAGACCATCTCCTGGTGGGTGAGTATCTGGGGGTGCCTGGGTCTATGGCACCCTCGAGTCTGGGGGGCAGATGTGCTCGAAGGAAGGGGGGGCGTAGAGTGGGAGAAGACAAATCCAGTCTTGGGGACCCACAAGGAGGAGGGCCCTTGTCCCTTCCTGGGCCCACTGGGGGCCCAGGCGTGCTTGTAACTGAAGTCTGCAGTTCTGGTGAACATCTCTGGGGAGACGAGTCGATTTTGGTGAGTGAGTGTTTGCGAGTGAGCGGTGGGTGGCTGCCTACTTCTTTGCTTGGGGACCACGACCTTGGAGGGGACACAGTCTTGGAGCTCAAAGCCGAGCCTGTATCTTTTCCCCCAGGGCCCAACGGGGCTAGTCCCAGCCGAGAAAGGCCTGGGATGCTCTGGCTGGATGTGGAGCAACTGCTGGCTGTCAAGTTGTCAGCTTCTGAGACGGAGCTGTCTCTGGTGGCCTTGTTATCAGAGGTGGCATCGGAGGCCGGAGGGCCCTGAGCAGGTGAGGAATCTTCCTGCAGTGTGGCTGGCAGGCCCAGTGGGGGAGCCTCTGAGGATGGCCTGGATGACTCTTCCTCACTCTCCTCCTCATCCTCCTCCTCGTCTTCATCCAGATCTGCATCTGAGTCCAAGTCTGAGTCCTCCAGGTCTGAAAACTGGTGCTCCTCCACAGCCTCGGAGCCCTCTCGCCCTTCTGAGTCCTGGAACATGTCGTCACTGGTTCCTGAGGGGAGAATGCAGGACATCCAAGGTCACAGTCCGCCCCTGCGGGGCCGCTCTGACCCCACACTGCCAGTTCCCTTGTCTGCCAATGAGGCAAAATGCCACAGAGATGGCAGATGACCAAGTGACACAAGAGACAGAACATGTTGTACATAATGGTGAGCAACGATTACCTTCTGTTGGGAATGTGTATGTTCAATTTTGAGGGCTTTAGGGCTATTAGTCCACACTGTGCCCAAGGAATCCTGGGAAGGTGGTTATGTTTTTATCTTCATATAATAAATGAGCAAAACAGGTAAGACAAATAAACTAACTTGTCCGGGTAAATTACTCCTACAGCTGGGACTGAACCATAGTAAGTAAGGCACCCTTCTTAGCTACTCAGGAGGCTGAGCAGTTCAAAGTCAGCCTGGGCAGATAAATCTACGAGATTCCTATATTTAATTGATTAGCAAAAGCCAGAAGTGGAGTATGGATTAAATAGAAGAGTTCCAGCTTTGAGCAAAAAAGCCTCGTGAGCATGAGGTTCTGAGTTCAAGCCCTTGAAAGACAGCTTTCTTATTCTTACCAATATGTCAGTCCTTGAGTCATCGTTCTGTGTCTGTCTCCCCTTTTATCAAATGAATGGGAGTCGTAATTCATATGCTAGGAGGAGAAAAGGCAGGTCTGGCACATACTAAGGGCCCAAATAATGATAATTGCTATGTGTCTATGTGGCTGACATCTATTGTTCTAGGACAGAGCACGCTGGCCAGTCTTGCAGACAGAACTGTGGTCAGTTTAAACACACGGCTGCCATGGTGACCAGGCTGCCACTGGCTGGTACAACAGCGTTTGGCAGGTGGCAGAGTCTAGCCTCTGTGGGTGGCATGGCAAAGCTGGCCTCAGGCTACAGGGCAGGGTGCCACCCGTGTACTCTTACCCTGAGGAGTCACTGCCTCTTAAAAGCCTGGGCTACTCCCAGCAAGGAGGGAACAGCTCTGAAATGCCAGCTTTCTGGTCTGGCATTTCATACGGTGGCTTCCACCAGCTGGGTCACCTTTGCCAGTCTTCTTAGGTCATCTCTGAGACTGGTAGCATTTTGGATGTTGGGGAGTGCTCTGCTAATGTCTGGCCCACTTGGCAGGCTCTGAAGGGTTCGGCTACTACATCGTGAGATTGCTGTCATCCCATGTGTCATGCCCACAGACTGTAGGCTGGTGACAGGTGGGTAGAACCATCAGTCAGCCCCATGGAGGGGACACAAAGCAGCACTGTAGGCACTACAGAAGAGCACCACTAGACCTAAGCATCTGGTGTACCCAAGCATCTCCATCACATCCAGCTGCCCTGGGCCCAGCATCAGTGCTTGCTTAGAATAATCACATGCAGCAGCAAGATGTCTAACATGGTCAAAAAACTATGGGGTGGAGCAGGGGCTGGTGGGCAAAGGGGAGGGATACAAGGCCCAGGGCAGGTTCTCGTAGCAGCTGGAGGCAGAAGTACAAGGGGAAAAGTTTTGCAGTCTGGCCACAGGCATTTGATCTCTTGGGCTGGGACTTTGGCTGGAGTCTGTCTGTTGTAGCCCCAAGAAGTCACCGAACCCTCACTCACATAAGGTGAAACCCTGGAACAGAGAAAGATGGAGGACACAACCAAGATCGTCCAGCAAGCCCTTACCTAAGTCAGAGCTAAGCTTCACAACTCTTGTGTTATTACATAGATAGTTTAAAAATGATTCTTATCATTCTAGAAGCAGAAAATGGTCTGGGTTTGAGTCCCTTCTCCTAGTGACAACTCCCTTTTCCTTTGTGCTCCACTTCTTCTCTGTAAATTGGGAGCAGGGGTAAGCCATGGCTATCATCATCTCCAGTCTCCCTCCCCCAGCCCACAGGCAGGTAGCTGTGGGTGGCACTGAGCTTCTTGCAGATAAGGGTTGGTAAGGAACAGTGGAACCAGCACCACCTGATACTCACCAGCCATTAAAATTCTTCTCTAATGATGAGAAAGCTGAGACCTAGAGGGAGTGGTCTGGACATCCAGTATATGAATGACACACCAAGGGTCTTCAGTCTAGGGCATGCTTCATCAGATCCTTCCACCTTCCTGCCCCCATTCCAAGATCCCTGCTGGGATCTAAGAGATTCCCCTGGCTTGTTGGCCACTTCTTATTCCTGATGCCCCACATGGAGCTTCCAGGCAGTTGCTGAGACCAAGGCCAATGCTCAACAAGAGAACTGGCTGCTACAAATACAGGGACCTGGGACCAGGATGGAGAACCTCAGAAGGAAGCATGGCTAGTTGCCATTTCTGGGACTTGCCACACGGTGGCACTGGTGTGCAACCTCATCTCTGCCTGGGTAGGATTGGTGAGGTGTACATGAAGGGGGATGTTTTGGCTGTTCCCTCTGGGCCCCCTTATCTCCCCTCCCCCCCTCATCTTATACACCAGCTCTTGATGTCACAACTTGAGTCTTCCTCAGTGGGGAGTGTCAACATCATCCTTCTAGTCTTTTAGGCCATAAATCTCAGATCATCTTTGGCTTATTTCCCACTCATCCCTTCTCCTCTATGATGTGACAGCAGGGCCCATGGTGCTGCCTCAGAATGGATCTAGAATCTGATCATTTCTCACCTGCACCGTGCCCACGTGGTCTGCATCCACACAGACATGTGCTTGGCCTGGCCTACTGTCTTCCTGCGCCCCCTGCAGGCTGTTCCCTGTGCATGGCCAGAGTCCTGACATCAGAGGATGGCACCTGCACTGCCTGCTTCATGTTTGTGGACAGAGAAGTTTGCCCTTATCCCTCAGGGTCCCAGCTCAGGTGTCACTTTCCTCTGCTTGAAACGCGGCAGGGTCTGTAAATGGCCTGATGTTCGTTTTTGACAAGTATGGCAACCCCTACATTATGGTTTGGGGAAGAGTCATTATATTCTGTTCTAAAAAAGTGACTTAATGGGCATCATGGTTCATGCCTGTAATCCCAGAACTCAGAATTTAACTCTTCTATTAGACTGAAAATGCATTCCTAATCATAAAAAAACAGAAATAGAATAATGTATGTACCATACTACACCATACCAGTCCCCCACCCCACATTTTTTTTTTGTCACATTCTAAGTCCTGAGTCTGATTTCAGAGAATTGTGGTCAAAAGTTTGTCACTACACTTGATGCTGGGGATGGGCAGTGATCAGCCAGATACTTTAGCTTTCCCCCATAGCTTGCCTGCTTTGAGATTGGTTCTAATCTGCCTGTAGTGCAGGGATGGGCCTGTGGGATCTGGATTTGGCTTTCTTGGAACTCTCCCAGAGTCCTATGTGTGAGGCCCATGCCAGAGCAGGGGACCCACAGAGTCTGACACATAGTAGGTACTACGTGTTGTCTGTAATTACACATGGGTTCACTCATTATACATTCTCTGTGCTGCTCTGGCATGGTGGGCTGTGGTGCCCAACAGCCATCCTGCACAGCACAGGGGGCATTCTGGTAGTATAATCTTTGTCTGCCAGTGATTGGGAAAGCTGGAGGGGAGAATGGGGGGAAGGGGAGCAGCAATCGAGAGGAGGGCAGAGGAAAGGAGGAGGAGAAGGGGAAAGGCAGAGGTCAGTGGCCTGGTAAGTGAGGAGGAAGGGAGGGGAAAGGCATGAAGGCAGAGAGAGGAGGCCTAGAGTTTCTTACCTTCTCCGGCTTCCAGCTCCTCCAGCACCCCTGTCTCTTGGCACTTTTTGCTGTGGGCTTTCGACTTCATGTGCTTAGTCAGATTCCCTGGAAAGGAATAAGACCAGACTCAGGCTCAGTGACAGGGCAGGGGCCAGCCAGGGAAGGTGAGAGCTTATGGAGGCAGCACTGGGCTGGAAGCCCATGACTTCTCAGACCAGTCAAGGCACTGCCACCTGCAGGGGCCGGGCAGAGGCCCCAGTAATCAGGCAAAGCCTTGCAGCCAGAGCTGTGGATCAAGGTGGAATGCAGGGGCTGGGGTGGAGAGGCTATGGGACCGTGAGGTGGCGGAAGGTATGACAAGAACATGAGATGCTGGTTAAAAAGCAAAAAATTTAAAAAATCCCCAAACAAAAAACCAAACACCTGTTTCCTGCTTCTGATTTAAGTCTGTGCCAGGTACTGGTGACATGATTCCAGTAGGATTATTGGCCATGCCAAGTGCTGGGGTGACATGAGGCTCTCACTGACCAGTATGGCAGGTAGGGGCTAAGTGACCCTCTGGCTCTAGCTGTTCCTTATGAGGGAGGGAACGCAGGGCTTGGGCACTGTCCCTTCGTTTTTTTGTTTAGGTCTGGCTCCCTACTATTTGAGCCATAGCTCTGCTTCTGCTTTTTTAGTAGTTAATTGGAGATAAGAGTTTCACAGCCTTTCCTGCCAAGGCTGACTTCGAACTAGGATCTTCAGATGTCAGCTTTCTGAGTACCTTGGATTACAGATATGAGCCACTGGTGTCCAGCTGAGGCCACTTCTAAGTAACCCACCGAGCTGAACCTTAGGGTCTGGAAGAAGAACCAGGGCAGTCTTACTCTTAGGAACGAAGGAGACAGAAGGAAATGCTGTTGGTCACACATGGGAGCCAAAGGCTGAGGCTCAAGTCCACCTTCCCCAGACTGTTCAGGATGCTCCTTTGGGCCCAGCAGCCACTCCCAAATTGAGCTCTGAAGACCATTGCCTTTCCATACAGTCAATGACATAATAAGCCGTAAGTTCCCCGAGTCAGGGGCTTTTTGTCTCATGAGTCTTACTAATTGGGAGGTTTGAATGGATGAATGGAGGAGGAAAGAATGGAAAGAAGAAAAGGCTATTGGAATGGATGTATAGACAGATTAGTAGATGGAAGAATGGGTAAGTGAGTAGAAGAAATAGGATGTGGAAGAAGAATAGGAAGATCTATGGCAGTAGATGAGTAGAAAGGCAGATGAATAGACAAATGAGGTATTTGAATAGGTAAGAAAATAAGTGGAGGGAAGGATGGAACGTAAGTCAGTACACGCAGCAGCGCAGGGAGGGCTGCACGAGTAGGAGAATGCTGGTTGATGAGATGAATGGATGCCTTTCTATATAAATGCATGTGAGGCAAGACAAGAGGACAACAAAACAAGAGGCTGCAGGGGAGGATGGATAAGTGGGAGGGTAAGTGGAGACCAGGAGAGGAACAGACAGGGTAAGAGAATCACCAGGAAGAGAAATGACTGGGAAGATGGCTCTATGAGAGGTGGGTGGGGAGGGATGGTGGGTGGGTGAGCAGAGGTGGAGCCCATGGCTGTACCACAGGGTGCTTCTTCCATCATTCTGACCAACATTTGAGACTGACAAACGACTGCTGAGACAGAGGGGGAGCGTAAGCTGGGCTTCTCTATGGCAGGGAGGATGGGAGAGGAGCCATCTCCTTTCCTCTCTCCCAAGCTCCTAGGCTGTGACTCTGTCCTCAGCTTGGTCTTCTCCTGCAACTAGACAGAAACCTGCTGTTCTTTCCCTGGCCAGGGAGGTTATCTCTTTTCCAGCCTGGTGGGCCTCCATCCTCACTGCTCTGAGCAGGCAAAGCCTGAGCAAGCACAGTCAGGAGGTGGGGAATGGAAGACGTCTGAGTTATCCTAGGCCACAGGGGACATGCGCACTGCTCGTTCTGGCAGTTGCTTCATTTGCTACACACATTTTACTTGTGTCTCTATTCGACCATACTAAATACATACAGAGGACGTATGGTAGCCCTGGGGGGAAATGCTATTATGGAAGAGAGAATTGAGGAACCTTGTAGAACTTGTTATTCTGTCTAGAGACAGAGGCACATGTCCTCTGCTACCCTAATTCTGGGCCCAGGGGCTGATGACTCTAGTGGACAAGTTCCCTGGCTGTCCTGGATACTGGTAGCTATCCTATTAGCCATCATGGTGAACCATGGAACCCAGAATCACCATTTAGACCCACGTCTCAGGATCTCAGAGTCTGACTTCTTCAGGTGATGGGAAGATGGAACAGGATGGTTCAGGGGCCTGAGGGCCTCAGTGTAGGCTGGGCTCTGACACTGCCAGCTGGGAAGTCATGAACAAGTTTCTCACCCTACCGAGCTTGTTTCCAGAAGGATAAATCATACTCACCTTAGAGGAACACTGAGAAGATCTGAAGACATTAACATATGTGGTAGCAGGGTGTGGCTGGCACAGGGTGGATCCTCCCCCAGACCCTGTGAAAATCACTCTTTAGGGGCTTAAAGGACTCCGCCACACGTTGTATACTGTGCTGGTATGGATAAGAGAGGTGCCCAGATGATGCCGTGATTGGACGGCTTCACTTTTTAGCCTGGGCTTCAGAGGCTCTCAGAAGAAGGCAGGAGGGGCCCCCCTACTGAAGGCCTGCCCCTCCCCTGAATGACCCCTTAGGGGGCTGTGGGAAGGAGGCAAAGTTGGAGGTGATGTTGCATGTCATAGCAGCAGTAGACACCAGGTAAACCACCCAGCATGTTACCTGGATTCCTCCAAGCCTTCCTCTCCCCAGCCTGTCTCCTCTATAGACAGGGAGAAGCCTAGCAAATTGCCACAGGCCCAACCTGGCCACCATTCCCCTGCCAGCTTACCAAGCAGAGCCCTCTGCTTCTCACTATCACCCACGCCTCTCAATGATAGCCAGACAGCCCTGAAGTGGAGGAAGAGAGGCAAGTGGATGAAAGTGTCTCTGAAAGAAAGTGGGTGCTGTGAAGAGCACCAGTCAAGGGCCCTGTCTCCTCTGGTGTCCTCCCTGTCCCCCCCCTCCCCTACCCCACCCCCACTCCAGCCTGATGGATATGTCTGCTCGCAGATGCCATCTCTGTCCTCCAAGGAGATTGCACAAGGGCCCATACATGACACTGCCTCTCCATGAACCCTGGGAACTATCTGAGAAGAAGAAAAGGACCCTCCTTGGGCTGGCTGCCACATGACCCCCACCCATCACCCACTGAGAACCTCCTCAGGTAGCTCCCAGAGCCTGAACTGCCACCTCCACATCTGACGGAGACAAGACACAGACAGGCAGACAGAGACAGACAGGAAGGGCTCCAGGTCCAACCAGGCTCAGCTTGGGAGCTCACACAGCCTGGTCCAGGCCAGAACTTAAGGGTAGAAGGAGTGATAGGTAGAGATGACCTGGAGGATAGGCAGACAGCCCCTGGGAGGAGAGGAGGGGGCTCATGTTACCAGAGCTGGTGGCCGACAGGTCCCAGAGCTTGCGATAAAACACAGCCCCAGGGAGAGCCAAGGGCTCCAGGTCCTGTCCCCTCGTCACCAGAGGGGCTTCTTTGCTTCCATCTGCTGCCACCCAGCAGCCCCCTCAGTGCTGGGCACAGAGTGAGATGTCACTGGCTCCTGTGATCTTTTGGCAGGTTCAGGCGGCACAGTGGAGGATGAAGTTGGCATGCTTCTAATCACTAGCCGAGAGCAGAGCTCCTCTTTCTTCGGGAGAATCTCCCTTACTCCCCCCACCTTTCTGGAAATGCAGAGAACCCCCTCTCCTAAGCCCCTCTGGGCTCAGATCCTACACTCTGGATCCTCTCAGCTCTGTGGGTGACTCAGAGAGACCGTGACCCTGAGCAGGGACTTCAGGCAGCTGGGCAGGGCTTCTAAGGAAGGCATCCCGGGACAGTAGGTGCTCCACAGGCATCTCTCTGCCTTGGCAGAGGAATTGAGTTGGCAGAAGGACTCGCTGGGATCTCAGTGGGGGGACAGCTTTCCCGTGACACAAGGCAGACTGATTGCTCCCCAGGACTGGGTAGTAGATGTGGTGCCATGCATGGCCAGAGCTAGGAGGTTCCCTTGGGGCTCCTCAGTGGGGTCCCCTGGCCACCCACTGACCTACTCAGAGGTCACCACCTGGCTGTGTTGTGCCACCTCTGAAGAGGAAGGTAAGGGCGCTGGCACCTGGGGACAGGGGTTCCCCAGGTACAGCCTCTTCCGGTGTTCGGTTTCTTCACTTTCAGGAGGCTGTTAGACAAGCAACTTTACCTATGTAGAACTGAAGACTAGTTATCTAAGCAATCCACCAAGGATCCCCTTCTCTCTTCCCCAAAACCTCACCAGGCTGAGAGGGCTCCAGACATGCCCTCCCTCTGACACACGGAGAGAGAAGAGGAGCAGAGAAAGAAGGTAGGTGAGGGACACTCTCATCCCAAAACCTTGGTGGGGAAATTTAAGCTCAGCTTGAAGATGATGGCAAGAGGACACAGGATAAGGGTCACCCAACAGGGTCAGGAGATTGGAAACAGAGACACAGCCAGAGAGGAGGCCGCTGAGCCACACAGGGTGACAAACTGCATCCTGGCCTAGTACTGGAGAAACAGAGGCAACCTTGGGTGGGGAGCTGCACAGGCTCCCCTGCTTTTTGTGATCACTCAGCCTGTTTCACTGGGAACAGCTTCACCAACAGAAAGGAAGGACAGAAAAAAAACAAAAGAGAAAGCATAGTGTGCTGTACAATTCTGTCCCCCGACAGTGTGGCTTCCATGGAGTCACCCAACTTGCTCACAGAAGGCAGACCCTTCACGTGCCCAAACCCTGATCTAGGGATACACGAAGTGCAAAAGAGGCTGAACCCACCAAAGCTGCCAAGACCCTGGCCTCCTTCAGAAGCACCCCCCGTTCTGCCCAGCTCCCGAGTACAGTGATTGTGCTCAGTTAGAACCTCCCTGCAGAGCCTGCTGGGAAAGACACCATCTAGAGCACCAGGGGCCTCACTCTTTTGTCCCACCATGAACCTGGGAGGCTGCATGCCAGGCCACGGTCATCCATCACTGTTCCCTGAGATACAAGTTCTCAACAGCTCCTCCCTCCTCTCAAAGGTGACTGCGGAGCCTGTCCTGACCCTGATGTGGGTGTGGCCGGGGCAGGAACAGAACCTTGCTAGTCTGGATCAGGCGAACATGGCTGGGCCCTGCATTCTGGAGCTGCAGAGAAGCAAGGGGTACGGTGAGGAAGGTGCAGGCAGGGACAGCTGTAGCATGGGGCATGCGACCGTGTTAAGTGACTCTGAGTGGAATGGATCGCTCAGTGTTACCGTGTGGATGTTGGAGGTCATCAGGTCAGTGGATAAACAGCTCTGGGGACATGCAAAAGGAAGGGGTGATGAGATAAATAGAAGACCTGTGGGCTGGTGCTACTGGGAAAGGATCAGGCAGGACGCTGTAGGTGTGGGGAGGGCTGGGGCAGTCACAGGGTGCGTGCTACTGCCCAGTCCTGAACGGTTGGGCTGTGCCACAGGCAGGATATGGGTGTGCGCCAGGTCCCAGGTAAAGAGGTGTGAGCCGGGGCTCCCAGAGGAGAGCGCTCTGCGGCGGGCTGGGCGGTGCCCCAGCTGACTGTCTCTTACCTTTGGTTTTAAAAGCAAAGTGACAGTGCTTGCACACATAGGGCCGGACGTCAGTGTGGGTGCGGATGTGTTTCTTCAGCATGCTGGGCTTCTTGCAGCGAATTCCACACTCCTCACAAACATATTTCCCTCGGCCACGGCCTCGCACATAAACATACTCTTCGTTTGATTTGTACCTATGAGCAACAGGTGTCATGTAAAGGAAAAACAAAACCAAAAAAAAAAAAAAAAAAGGGAGAAGAGGCAGCTTCTCACTCGGGGAAGATGTGCACGCTTCCTGGCTGTCTCCAGCCTGGGAGAGGAGGATGCAGAACCAGAGAGAGCCCTGACAGAGCTGGGAAGGAGCTAGGTTGCCCCAGGGATTCACCGGGAACCCTTGCAGCCCGGCCCCTGCATAGGTAGGGCTGTACCTTCCTTTATTCCCTTTATTCTTCCTCCAGAGAAGTAAAGCCACAGCTTCCCAGATGTTTCCATTCCACAGCCCGCCCTGGCCATAGCACTGCCACAAAGAACAGCCACTGTGGGCCACCAAAGTCACACAGAGTGAAAAGGCCTTGTAGTAATAGCAGAGGCCCTGGCAGCTGCCATTCACCAAGTACACATGCGGACCTGGGGTACTTCACCTGAATGAAACCACTACCACCTCACAAGAACTTGTACGAGCCCGAGGCTCAGAGAGGTCGAGAGACATTCATACATGAACCCACAGCTGGAAAGGAACAGAACTTGGAACAGAACCATTTTGCCCTGAGCCTGTCCATCTCCTTTAAGGAGCAACTAGTGCAAAGGCAGCCTTCACAGGAGGACAACCAGTCCTGCAAGGGAGGCAGGAGGTACAACCATCGTTCCCCAGGGGCCTTACTCTCTTCCTCAACTCATCTCTGCCAAGCTGGAGGCTGTGGGGAAACCGCAGTCTTAGGTGGACTAGGCAGTGCCAGCTGCTCCCAAGGCCTCATAAGCACCCCAGAACCCTGCATCAGAATGAACTGTTCCTACAAGTGCTACAGGCCCCTCTGGGTGCCACTAGCCTCAGGCATACTTGCAGCCAGGGTACATAGATTGTGGACCACAGGCCAGAGGGAGGCCTGGCTAGTCTAGGAGGAAGCATTGGTCATCAGACACCAAAGCCAGCCAAGACCAGGGCAAGAACTGGGCAGGTGCAGGAGGGTGGCTGGAAAGAACAGTAGCAAGGACTCCAGCCTTCTGGCAGGATGGCAGTTCAAGGCCCAGTGGGGTCCCAAGGGTGGGAGCAGAAGAGGGGCACTTGGGGAGGGAGCGCAGGCCGCAGTGCATCACGCCATATCCACACCTCTCATGCCACATAATCACACACCCCACACTCACAACCACAATCACAAATCCCTCCCACTCAGCCACACATTTGCGCTCACTGTCAGATGTTCACAAACCCTCATGCCTTCAATCAACCACACGAACGCACACCCATACACCACTCACGCAGTCACACACAAACACCCCATGCTCTGCCATCTACTCACACACCTCACACCACACATACCTCTAATCGCCACACACCTGACCATCACCCAGTTACATTCTCACCCCATAATCACACGTATTTTCATACCCACACCCCTCCCACACTCATAAACACATTCTAGTGATGTCATCTCCACACCCCCAGTCACCCCCACAAAGCACGCACTTCATACACATTCACAGTCATACTCTAATTCCCACACTCGAGCCCCTACCATCACACTCCTCATACACACCTGCCCCCCCATATCACACTCTTTCACACACTCACATAACTCAGACAGGGTCTAAAGGGTCCTGTCTTCACCTCTTCAGGCTCTGACGCACCTGTATTGGGCACTGACCTCAGGTGTCTTTGGGCAACTTTTATGCTTGATCAGGACAAGCGCCATCTTATGTTCAAGCACAAGTACTGCAGGTCTGGGGGCAGGGCAGTGGGAGAAATGTCTGACAGAGCTTCCTATTCAGGCAAAGCCTGTTGGACCCCATTCCTGCTTCCCTCTATGCCCTGGGTACCCAGTCTTCAGATAAAGTAGACTGAGGCAGGCACCCTTTCCAATCTGCGGCCCTGTTCTCTCTAACTACCAAGTGCCATCTTATCCTTAGACACCGTCCCAGTGTGCCCCACACAGGCCACAACCATGCTGACCTTGGATGTGGACTTTGCTCTGCTCAGCCAGCCTCCAGGCTCTATGCCCATCTCCCTGCCTTCAAAACCCTGCACTCCCCAGGGCAACAAACTTTAACCCACACAGAATCTTTCAGGGGATGGGGAGGCAGCTCCGATCCTTCAGAGTAGCACCTTGATGGGGCACACACAGAACCATGCAGAGCTCTTGTCACTGCCACAGAAGGCAGAAGTCCTGCGTTGGGAGTGGCTAGGGTGGGAGTGGTCAGGCAGAAGTGGGAGGGGCTCCCAGTAGGGACTCCAGGGGAAATGGCACAGGTATTAAATGGCTTGGAATGTGACAGGTGTGAGCAGACAGGGCCAGGTGGGTCAGGTTGGTTCACCATGGGCCTTGAATGCCACCTTGAGTTTAGACTTGCTCCAGCGTGTCTTACAGATCAACACAAAATCTCCCAGAGTGGATACCCCCGGGTGCTGTGAGGCCCAGTCCATGTCCCAGGATAGAGACTTGGAGGACTTCTGGTGTAGCCTTCAGACTTCACAAGCCTTGGGGGCCATGTGGACTGTTGAAGTTGATTCACCTTGGCTCACTCATGTGGCCAGGGGGAAGAAAGGTGATGGAGACCCTTCTTTTAGCTACTGAGTGTAAGATGCAGATAAGAAGGGCATGAAGAGATCTCTAGTGCACTGCTAGGGACTTGTGAGACATAGAACTGTTCTGCAGATTTGTCAGGAGGAAGCTGACCACACGAGCGAGTGAAGAGCTAGCTGAGCATGAACAGTGCTGCAGGCAGAGATCTGAGAGAAAGCAGAAGGGAGCCTCAAATCTGTCCCAAAGAGGAAAAAGGTTAGAGCAGTGGGATGTTAGGAGAAGAGGCTTTAGAGAAGGCATACAAGCAGAGTTGAGTCATGGAGAGCCTGAGGATGCCCAAGACATGGAAAAGGCAGCCCTGGTTGAACACGAGGCCCTGGGATTTTCCTACTCTGTGAGGGCTGGGCCTATGGCTTGTCCAGTTTCATGGCTCCTGAGGGGCCCAGGCCAGGATGGCTTTCCAACAGCGTGGGCTTGCCCCATTCCTGCCCAAGTCTGAGCCCCTGCCCTGTTCAGAGGCCCTTCAGCAGCTACAATCTATTAGTGCTTGGCACCTTCCACCCCACAGATACAGGCTGGGCACTCTCCTACCAGAGCCAACCAGCTCTAAAGTCTCCCAGACACCCTCCCACTCCAGCTCAGGGGCTCCTTGCTTCCTTACATAGTACAAGTGCAGAGAGGGCTGTCCACACACCTGTCCATCTCTCCCACCTCTCTATACTCCTGCAGGCCAACCATCCTCACTGAGGCCATGGGGTGCCCCAAACAAAGGATGTTTGCCTTGTTCTGCCTGCCTCTCACCCACCTTTTGCCCTGCTTGACTTGGGTGATCCCATTCTCTTATGCATCTCCTCCTTTGCCCAACCTTGCTTATGCTGACATTTCTCCCCTTACTCCTTTCCCAGGTGGTTTTCCATCTGAGCATTGATGGCTCCCCTCCTCTCCCTACTTCTGGATGTTTTTTCCAACCATCCCCTTGGCATCAGCCTGGGGGCTTCAGGTACCTCTAGTGGGAGGCAGCCAGCAGGAGGAGGTTTGTGTCTGGGAATGAAGAGGCTATGGAGATCCCAGTCCTTTCTCTCTTTGCTCCTGGGACACCCCAAGGTGAGCAGCCTCCTCAGCACATGACCCCACATGCCGTGAGACTGTGTGGCATGGCTAAGTGAGCACAGACGGGACTCTGAGACTGTCAGTTCCTACACCCACCGCATGTCCTCTGGGACCCAGTCACAGTCATGTGGTTGGCCAGACCAGCATCCTGGGCATCGTCCTGGGCAGCTCACTTTTCTTCCTTCCCGACATGTAAGTCCATCATGGCTGGCCACACTTCATCCAACACTGGTTCCAAATGTCCACCTTGGCCCCTAAGCCAGACCACTATCCCTTCTCCCATGCCATGGACTTCTTTCTTGACAAAAGAGCCTGTGGTGGTAGGGTTCTGAGATATGCAGCCCTTGCTCTAAAGGCCTTCACTCTAAAGGCCCCATTTGTGGTCCTCCCACGGTCCTCAGAGCAAGCCCACCTCCTCCACTTGGCCAGTAGGTCCAGGCACTATGTGGTTATGGCTACTGCTCTAGCTCATCCTTCCTGTTCTCATGGTCCCTTCCACTCCTGTGCTCTCTCCAGCCATGCTAACCAACCCTGTCCTCTGGCCTAACAGCCCACAAACAGCCAGCACAGGTCTGCGCAGCCCCTCTACTACTTCAGGGCTCTGTCAAGTGCGATCGCCCATTCTTCCCATCTACTGCATTCTCTGGTGCATTCCCACTCTAGTACGGTGCCTGAGAGTCAGCAAGTGCTCAATCAATAGGCTGCACATTGGAAATTCAACCAAGGCCTTCTCTGCTCAGTCGCTGTGCTCCACTGCCTTGCCTGTCTTCTGTTGCCCTGACAAGTGGAGCCATCAGCCAGTCCAGTTGCTCCAATCCTTTCTCTGGATTGGGAAATCTTAGTGTAGAGACTTGAGAGGCCTTGAGATCAGACATCCTGACTGATTAGGGCCATGTAGCGGGGCTCCATCCTCAGAGGAGGGGTTCCACGGCTGTAGTTTCAGGGTCCCTGAGTCTCTCCCAGAAGCAGCTTTGTGTGCTGCTGCCTAGGGTGGGAAGATGAAGAGGCAGCGGGTGGGGTGTGCAGATGCAGCCCTTCCTGCTGACAGGGTGGCAGCATGGAGACTTAACTCCAAGGAAAAGAAAAAGGCCTCTCAAACAGCACCTTAGTCAGGAGGGACTTACTACCTACCCAGATGTGCCCAGGAACAAGAGGGCAAGTTAGCAGGCAGCCAAAGAGTGTGAAGCAGCATGAAAACCCAACTCTGACTCCAGCGCTGTTAGGTGATGGGTGGGCCTTGGTCTGGGGCCCCTTCCTGCCTGCTGGTGCCTGCTAGAATCCGCGCATGCATGACACCAGCCTTGTGGCTCTGAACTCTTTGGAGGCGGGCCTAAGAGCAGTGGCTT